CTAATCAATGTTTTCCCATATGCTGTGTTTCCACTCCCTGCCCTTTAACCATTTCCTCCATGGGTACTTCCCTCAATGTTTATTTAATGTACATTTGTCTGAGGTCTATACTGATTTGGACAACCCATCAAGCAGACTGCAGCTTGGAAAAAGAAAAACACCATCTCCTAATGAGTGACGTGAACCAGGCTTGTTTTATTTAGCTCAGCATCCTGTTAAAGCCAAGTTTTTACCCAGCGGTTGAACTCTTACCCATCACATTTGCTCACAAAAAAACAACCACAGTGTCACGAAAATGAATTTTAGGAAGCTTCGGGAGCACAAAGGCCCCTTAACGTCTACCCGACCCATTGGGTATAAGATTGTCAGGACAATATAGGGAAGTTAGAGCTTACTGTAGCACCAGCTACAATACTGAGAATAAAAACTGCAGGCTTACAAATGCTACAATCTCCCTTCCTTAAAATCTTTATCAGAGAATGCCATATTTCATTGCCTTGGCATGTGACAGAGAGGATCTGTTTTTCAGTGGGCTTTGGTTCTGATGTTCTCTGTTTTTGTGTTGAAAGCCTAAGAGGCCAGTTGAGTGGCATGTTGGCGGGCTTTGTTCTACTGCACCTACAAGCCTTCAATGAAAGGAAGGAAACTGCACGATCCCAGCGCTCTGAGCCTAATTGTTTCTGCAGCAGGAGCTCTCTCCACACAGGTGATCAGAGGAGCAGAGATGGTGCTGATTCAGAGACAGGAAAACTGTAACCTGAGGGACTTCTGATAGAAACTACTTAAATTCTTTCACCATCTTAGTTTATTCCTCATCTTTCTACTTTGATGTAGGAAGTATAATATCCCTTGGTTTCTTGTTTTCTTTCATTGTCCAGCTTTTATGACAGCCTGCCTTGATCCGACTGTTTAACCTCCAATACTTCTCTTAGTGACTGAATTTTTCTCTCTACATTACAGTAAAGTTTCTACTCCAAAGTCTTAAATTGACCTTTATATTGATGTTCTACTAAGTTTCAAATGCAACACCACACCTAGGTATTTATATCCATAGTTAGCATATAAAAATCCTTATTTAAAAACATAAAAAAACAGTAACTTTGTATTCATAAACAGACGACACATATATACAACATTATTTTGAGGTAAAATTGACAAAAACCTTTGTATTGTGAGAAGACTTGAACTATATTAAATACACATTTTTTTGTTGTTTAAAGGCTGACACAGTAATCTTTGTTATCCTGAACATTTCTGATTTTACTTTAGAGTTAAAACCTTATAAAACCAAATCAATCTGGAAATAAACACTTTCTTTCCCCAATATTTTTGTAAAAAACCTTAATTTTATCCAGACTGGATGAAAGGCATACGAAAAAAAAAATGTTTTTATGTCTAGTAAAAATGTTCAAATAAAATTAACTTTGACTAGGCCATTTAAACACATGCAGTCACTTTGAACAAACCATCCTATTGTGGCTCCATCCACGTCATCCTACCAAAGGCGAATGTTTTCTGTGTCTCAATCCTTTTCTCAAATTTAACTACGTTTAGCTTTAGGTGTCTTTACTTCAACTTTGACCAACGTGATGTCCCCTGAAGGAAAGCATCACAACAGCATGATGCTGCACTGTAGGGATGGGCTGTTCAGTATAAGACGTACTGATAGTTTTCAACAACCACCATTTTTTGTGTATCAGCCAAAAAGATGGATTTATACTGAAAAGGAAATTTTTTAAATACAAATTTTAAACAGAACAAGCTACATCGCAATTTTTTAGGGGTATCTGGATAAAAAGCAGTGGAATATAATTTCTATTAAAGACATCCACTTGAGAATTGTTGTGTTTTTAATATGAAAAATTGTTAAAACACTCCAGATATTATTATTTACAGCACTCATGCAATTGAGAGACTTTATGTCAGTTTATAGCCTGTTATCACAAAATATTTTGAAACCCTGTCTTTATTGTTTTCTCATTTTAGTAAATTTATATTTTTATCACTTTAATTACTAATAAGCAATACCTTTCAAGGCTAGTTTCACTTAACCCACCAAATTTAATCTGGGTTGAATGCAGACATTGTTAACACTTAGCTGCATTCAGGCCTGAAATGTTTGGTGGGTTCCATTGAGATGCAGCTCGTTTTCTTTCGGCATCCTGTTTCCAATCCGAGGGGACGTTGATGTTGCGAGATAACAGCCTAGACTAAATCAACTGTCTTCAGTCTTGGCATGCTGATGTAACTGATCTATGTGTTCCTGTGGAAATGCTCATTTAGAGTTTCCACTAACCTGTTATGCTTCCTTCTTTTCTTTCCATCTCATCATTTTGCTTCATCTTTTGGTGATTAGTGTAAAAGAACACCTTAATATCTGAATTCCTTTACATCCAGTACCACTACATCTTTAGATTAAACGTAGCTTTGCAGAGTTTAAATGTTGCTACATTTGATCATTTGTGTCTGAACTGAAATATGAAACTTCTTTTTATGAGACATGCAACATATTTAATAAATCATTACTGTTTCACAAAAAAAAAAACTCTTTAGGACGCCCAACTGACGCCAGTCTTATAAACGTTTTCTGGCTCTGGGACTAACTGTTGAGGCTTGCTGCTGCAGATGATAAGACCCACAGGATGGCAAGACTGGCCTTATCAACCCTGTGCAAACCAGAGGACCTTTGCTATCACTGGACCGACTGGCAGACGAAAAAACTCATCCAGTATATCTCCCCTCTGCTCCCGCCCGGCTCCTCCATCTACTTTCAGCAGGTGCTGTTCTCATTATATTAATACACGTGCAGAAATAACAACAACTTTGCATATGTTTCACTCCTGCGTGCTGTAATACGTGAAGAGAGATTTTTGGCAAGCATTGCAGTGCAGCAAAAATTAAGAGCAACTGTTTATTTAAAATGGAAGAAGTCTGTTAACGCTGCAGAGGGGGGCTAATTTCAATACAATGGCAGTGTGTTCTAACATGGTGGTAATAGGAAATCCACTGTTGAAATTAGCATTGATTATTTTTATGAACGAGAATAAAAACAATTAAATACTCAAAATGAAGAGAGGAAAGTTGCAATATGTTTTTGCTGAAAGATCACAAAAGATCCAGACTGGATGGATTTCAGCAACAAGCCTGCAGAACTATCTGTTGCAGGTTCTTTGGTTTAAGATCTCCAGTTTGAGTAGCAGAGTTTTATAAGGATCTGTAAGAGTTTTTACCTCATTACTGATTTTTTTATTTTTTTTTTTTTTTTTTTTTTAAGTTAATTTGTTTTGGATTACCCTACTACTTTTAATAT